CACGCCCAACTTTGCCTATTCAACTTCAGCCTTTCCGTACCCGCGGATAACTCGTAGGGCTCTGTGAAAGTTTTTTACGGGTAACTCAATATCTCAGGAACCACGGAGTCTAGGAGGCTGAAATTTTACGGCGATGACCCCCTGCCACGCCCAACTTTGCCTATTCAACTTCAACCTTCCCGTACCCGCGGATAACTCGTACGGCTCCGTGAAAGTTTTTTACGGGTAAATCAATGTCTCAGGAACCACGGAGTGCTGAAATTTTAGGGTAATAACTTCCTGTCCACGCTCAACCTTGCCTATTCATATTCAGCGTTTCCTCGCTGTTGAGTATCACCCACGGCCTCGTGAGAATTTTGGCGGCTAAACTATTAACTAGGGGATCATGGAAAGATATTCACCCTTCAAGGTTTCGAATTCAGCTTTCATGCGCTGATGCGTGAAATTTTTAACCGTTTGATATTTTGCTATTTAGCTTTCATACGCTGGTGCGTGAAATTTTTAACTGTTTTCCAATGTTTGAACTATTTTTGCATAGACAAGGTACAAAGCAGTGAAAATCATTAATAGACAATCGTTCGATGAGCTGAATTGCACAAAACGCATGATCGCACCGGCTAGTCTGGTGCGCGCTGCTATTTATTGCATTTATTGCTGCGTGGACCCTGCATTATCAGGCGTTGGTTAGGCTGAAAGTAGTCCTTACTGCGCAAGATTACTTTGACAAATGTCGCATATTTTTTGATGCAAGAACTTATACCCCTTCCTTCTCTCTTCGCTACACCTCGACGTTGTTTGGTCCAGTACCATTCCGGTTCCGCAACGGTTTTGTGAAGGTATTGCTAGATGTCCAGAATTACTACTAAGATTAGATCAGCAACGCCCCGCGAGCATCAGTCACATGGGCTTTCTATTTTGTCACATCGACAAGCATATGAAACATATACTAATCCTATAACCATAGCCGTGCGCATATCTTCGTTCTTTAAGAATCATCACTGTTATTTCTGTGCTAAAATTTATCTTCTGAGCAATGTTGAATTAAGTAACCCCGCATACTCGATGCCGTCTAAAACTACTGAAACTCGAGCGAATCAAGGATTACCTTTTGATGGAACAGGAGTTTATCCGGAACCAGGAGCGTTTGAAGCCGCAGGAAGAGAAGCAAGAGGTTTGTTGGACAAGCTTTTCTACTGTACCACTACTGACTTAGCTTGTTCTTTTTTTTTGTGAAAGAGTGTTTATTTGCTTATGTCGGAGGCATAAAATCATCGGACATGGTCCATGTGCGGATCACTGAACGGTGTTAAATTCTCGAAAGTTTGATTTCAGGCATGACCAAAGCGAAATATACCTATCATATGCTAAGTAATATGTGAGGAAAGGGAATTTCTCTTCCCGTCCTCCGGGGTTTCTTTGTTCACTACCCGTTTCTTTAATGTACGAGTGAGCAGAATTGATGAGGCAATTCGTCTATTGTTATTTTGATTGCATAAACAACTTCTTTTTCACTGTCATAACAATTTTTTAATATTTCATTTTAAGTGATTTCGATTTGAGATTGCGAAAAGACCGCTACGTCCCAGAATTTGTAAGCCCAAATATGTTAATGTTTCATATGAAATACG